TCGCTGCACCGCAGAGTTTTCTTGATTCAAGTTGTGGGAATTGGCATTAGATGCTGCATGAGTTTCTTCCCTCACTTGACTTCTACTTTGGTTGCCTAAAAGCCCTTGTAGGATGACACCCAGTCGGACCCCTTGACTATTCAAAGTTTTTTGGGCTGAACCAGTTTTTCGAGCCACTCAAATCTCAAGATTAGGAGTGGACCCTTAGAACTCTGCCTCTAATTGAAGACCTGGGCATTGGATAATAGATTGTGCTGAGGTCTGTTGATAATTCCAAGGGATTGCAGCATATTGGTCCCTAGGTTTGGGCAGGTTAGGCTTAGAATCAGCTGTGGAGCAATCATCATGGTCACCTTCAGTAACCGACATGGTGACTCTCTTTGGCTGGGTTTTAGAATCTAGACTTAGGTAAGATCTAAACTCGATGACTTAGGGCGGACCTAGCCTGACTCTAGGGGAAAAACCTTAACTAAGACGTAGGCTAAGACTATACTAGAATCTAGACTTGCTAGACTCAATGGGTTATGGTTCAGACTGTGAATTAGGGTAGGCCTAGTCTAGCTCTAGAGGCAACTCTATGCCTAGACCTATGCTATAACCTAGTCTAAGATCTAGACTAGCTGGATACGAGTCTTGGCTCTGACCAAGAGTGGGTCTAGGTTTGGACGTGGGTGTGAGTTTGGTTCGGACCTAGACTGAGCTGATGCAAGCTTGAACTTGGACCAAGAGGGTTGTGATAATCAGACCGAGTATGGACCCGAATTGGATCAAAGATGAACTAGGAACAATCCTCGATAGGGGGATTGAGTATGGACCCGAATTGGATCAAAGATGAACTAGGAACAAGCCTTCGGCTCGAACGGAGAGGGGGCCTAGGTTTGGACCAAGGTGAAATCTGGTTCGGACCTGGGCTAAGCTGGGTAAAAGCCTGGACTTGGACCCAGAGGGTTCAGCTCGGACCAAAAGCGGATCTGAACTGAGATTTAAGATTAACCAATAAAAATAACAAGAAAAACACGAAAACTTTTGACCTAGTATTATAGGTAGGTTTGGCTTGAGAGTGGATTTCTAACTATTGAAATGAGACTAAGCTGATATAGGTCTCCACATAGGTCCTGGCCTCTTATTATTGGATGTTCATCAGGTCCTACTATACGCGGAGTTGCTTTGAGGTAAAGGATTACAGAGGGGCGCTCACAGTTACGCGAATCCCAACCGCCTTGACTCTCAAAGCTAGGTTCCCCTCTTGCCGTTAACACGGACTTTGGGGGTTTTCAAAATATTTTTTTGCTGGTTTCCTGGGAAATCCCTATCCGGTGTGTACTGGAGTGCGTAACGAAGCACGCAATCGCAAATAAATTCAAGCACACAATGCACACAAAACAAGAAAGAAAATGAATGAGCGCTCGACATTGATCATGCCTGACGATGTGCGATTCTAGGCGGGACTCACTCGAAGCGCAATATAGATGGAGGGGTAAGCAACCCTTCAGAAGGTAAAGTTAGAACAATGAGATGAGGCACAGTCCGTGCTAAGTCGAGAGCGACCCGAGTCTAGGGTGACTCGAATGGGACACGGTTTAGGGAGGGTGGAGGAGCCCTTGATGTATATTTTTTACTTTTTAAACTTTTATTTATCTTTTTAACTTTGATGAAACACAGTTAAACTAAGCATGGTGAAAGTAGGAAAAACATGATTTCAGTCAAAAGTAACAAATAAATATAAAAGTAAAAGAGTCAGAAACAACACAGACCTATTTGAAGCAAAATATTTTTTTTATATTTTTAAAAAATTTATTTTAAGTAAAACATTGGTCAACAGGGAGCTAAAAGGCTCTGGAACAGACTTGTCGGGTCCCATAAATTTTCTGGGACACTTGCAATTGGGCGACAAGGGTGGTGTCGCTCGGGTGGCACTACTAGTGTCACCCTTGTAAAACATTATTATTATTTATTTGTTTGTTATTTTTTAATTCTTAATCTTGATGAAATAAGACTACTTTAAAATTGGAAGATTCAGGAAAAAAAATATATTTATGATGAAATAAATTAAAATAGAGTAAAGTAGAACAGTGCAGACTGAACAGTAAACTACTTTTTTGATATTTTTAAAAATTTTATTTTCTTTAAAGGTTTGTGAAAATTCACAAAATAGACCCTAGAATAGATATGAAAAGTTTCAAAAGATTCTGAAACTTTTGAATTTGGGCGACACGGGGAGTGTCGACCTGGATCTGGGCGGGCACTGGTGGTGTCGCCCAGAAAACTTAGCGTTTCGCAGCACCAAAACCCTGGATCCTGGTTAATTTTGACTTTTGGGACTTTTTGTGACTAAAAAAAGTGAAAAATAGTGAATAAAAACCGTATTTTGGCGCTTGGATCAAGCTCGGAATGCCCCATGGTGGGCACCAAACTGTTTATAGTGAAAATTTGACAAATCTCGGATGAAGATCTATAAAAAATAACACCTCAAAACTGATAAAAATGAAATAAATAAAGTGGTAGAGAAAGTGGGACAAATCGAATTCTGATCTGAGGTCAGATCTGCTTGGAAATGAGCAGATCTACTCTCAGGTCTGTGGCAAAGCCAGCATGATCCAAAATACTAAAATACGATTTTAAAAGCAAAATAATCAAAATATATCAAAATAAAACAGTAAAAAGAAGAAGAAGGAAACGTGAAGAAACAATACCAAATCAGGCCAGATGGCCCGGGACTCTCGAGCCTTATCAGAACCGGTCCTCTTTTGCCTCTCTGATTCAGATGTCGATAAGCCAGTATTTGGTGTAAAGGTGGTTAGATCTATGGTTGTTGTGCCCTATGTTTGGTTCTGATCTTGGGTTGTTGTGCCCTAGGTCTGGTTCTAATCTAGGGTTGTTGTACTCTAGGTCTAGGTTTTCTCACGCTTAGGGGTTAGGATTTCAGGAGGCTCGAGTCTTCTAAAGCTATCTATAGGGGTTTCTGATTTCTATCAGTTTTTTTGATCTCTCTAATGTTTTTGATCTCTGTCCCCCCATCAAATGGCCACAAAAAGAGTCTCTATAGGGGTCAAAATCCGCTGGGAAGGATATACTCTCATAACAAATGCCAAAAATACACATTTCAAGGATCACGGATTTGGGCGACCTAGCACCGTCGGCCAGCTTGGGCCCAGTCCAGGCTGGGTGACACGGCTAGTTTTGCCCAACTCAAAAGTGGTCCGAATTAAAATATTGTTTTTCAGGTGCATTCCTCAGCCTCTTGTGAAGCTCTCAGAGAAAGTTTGGGTCAAAAAAGAGTTTTTTTACTATTTTTAATTATGTTTTTAGTAAAACATGGCATTTACAAGATTCTGGGTCAAAACAGGGCTTTTGCAAGGTTCCGTTCTGGGTCACAGGGTAGGAGGTGTGAACTATGAATTTTGGTTTTACTAGGTTAAATGTGTTCCTAAAGGTACAGGAAACCATAGAATTTGCCAGATTAAAAATGGGGTGTCTACACTACGAAATGGGACACCCATTGGTAGTGGGCACTGTTATATGATAATACTGTGATACTGGCCATTGTTTCCCTAATACTGGTCCCTACGCAATTGGGCAACCAACGGTAGTGGATACTATTTTACTGATACTGCTCGCTTCACGATGGGGAACCCATCGATAGTAAGAATTATCATACTTAGGAATGTGATGCTGGCTATATCCCCTAACTTGCTAAATGGGAGGGTCGCGCCCCACAAAATTACTGAAATGAGACTAACGATTGGCACCTTTCAAGGTAGGTGCCTATCGAATCCCCAATGAGCGCTGAGGGTCATGTGTGTGAGTATGAGGATTAGTGAATGCTAATGTTGATGATTGAAATGAATGAATGATATCTTTCATTGGATACAATGCTTATAATTGATGAACTGACTTGATTTCTGATTTATTTGATTATTGTACCACGACTTGTTATAGTTGAATAAATTGTTGCATGAGTAGACTCATTAATGATGTATAGCAACTTGAACCACTTACTAGGCTGTATAGCTCATCCAAATTACCTTCTCTCCTTGTAGATTGATGATAACAGGTCGAGGATTGAGAGTACGTGGACTTCAGCAGAAATCAGAACCAGATTCCTTAAGAAGATATTTAGATCTTGTATGTGACTGGGCATTTTAGCCTTGAATTTTGTATATTTTCGAAAGATGTATTATTAGGATTTGAAGCCCTAGACTCATATGTAAGAATTTTGGAAGAAGTTTTATGAAGTACCTTTTAATGGATGAATGGAGCCTCCAAATGTTAAATTTTTCCTTTGTGCTTAGAATTATTGATCTAGTTAATTTCCATGGTTTGTTTTGATTACCGAGATATAAGCGTTGAGTCCACTCTGACCTGAGTGACGTACGCTACATTGGGATCACGGACCTGTGCTCAGTCACCCTCCGTCGTGTACGGTAAGGTGGTTGGGGGCATGGTTGTGACAATTTTGGTATCATAGTAGCCAAGATAGGGTTCTTGGCTTAGAGAGTTTTAGGAGAGTCTTTAGAATAGTTTTGGGTTAGACAAGTGACAGGGTGCTCTTGTAACTAGGTTGAAGATGCCGAGGGCTCATACCCACAATGCAAGTTCCAGCTATGAGAATTTTGAGGCGCTCGGTGAGTTTTATAGAACTCTGGGGGCTATGACCCAAATGATGAAGGAATCGATGCCAGCCCAGTCTACCCCTACCCTGAGCAGAATGATGGTGGTCTAATATAAAGGTTTTGAAGGCTGGCGCCCCCAACCTTTTAGGGGCAAGGAGGAATAGAAAAGGTTTAGAGGTGGAAGAAACATATAGAGAAAATCTTGGAAGTGCTGCATTGCCCTGATGAGCAGAAGGTTAGATTAGGGACTCGATAAAGCAGTCATGGAGGGAGTCAGGGACCGAGACCACATGGGAAAACTTCCTGACAACCTTTGATGATAAGTATTTTCTAGACTTTGTCAAGAAGAGGAAAGAAGTAGAATTTATTGAACTTCAGCAAGGGGGTATGGTGGTGGAGCAGTACGTAGCCAGATTTGCAGAGCTCTCTAGGTACGCGCCTCACATCATTAACACCGAGGCGCAAAAGGCTGCTAAATTTGAAAGTGGCCTTCGGCCGGATATCAGAGGGAAAGTGCTGTCGGCCAACCTGAAGTCATACGCCCCACTGATAGACCTTGCCTTGAAGATTGAGAGGGACTGCAAGGACCACAGATCGAAGAGTGAAGGAAAGATGAAGGTTGTGCCATCGGGGAGGTTTGGGAAGAAGCCCCGACAATTCCCAAGAAGGGATATTAGAGGAAGGCCCTACCAGCTCAATCAGAGGACTCAAAAGAATCTCTCGAGCAACATGAAGAATGACCAACACCCGACCTATCCTCACTGCGGGAAGGACAACCACATAGCTGCTGAATGCTACAGGAAGTAGAACATTTGCCTAAGATGTGGCAAGCCCAGTCACTGGGTTAAGGATTGCCCCATGGCAAAGACAGAAGACCGATCAAGGACACAAGGACAAGTGTTTGCTCTCACTGAATAAGAAGCCAAGGCGTCCACCTCGGTGATCAGAGGTACGATCTCCATCTGTGGTGTTAGAGTTAAAGCTTTAATTAATCCTGGGTCCTCCCACTCTTTTGTTGCACCCCATTTTGCTTGCCATTTGAATGTTACATCTGCATGTCTCAATTTTACTCTAGTAGTAAGCACACCCGTGGGGGATTCTATGGAAATTGATAGGGTATTTAGACAGTGCTGAATAAAAATTGACTTGCCTATAGATTTGATCCTATTAGATATTTAGGACTTTGATGTTATTTTGGGCATGGATTGGTTGTATACACATCATGCCACCGTCAATTGTCATGAAAAGACGGTAACCTTTAAACGTCTTGACCAAGCAGAGTTACACTTTAAGGGCACCAAGGATACTTCCCCTCTGCACTTTATTTCCGTTCTTTGGGCCTCTCGCCTCCTGGCTAAGAAATGTGAAGGGTGTCTAGCCCATGTAGTAAAAAATTGGGGTGTTCAGGCCTAACTAGAAGAGACACCAGTCGTAAGAGAGTACCTTGAGGTATTTCCAGAAGAGTTACCATCTCTACCTCTAGAGGGGGAAATTAAATTTGAGCTAGATGTAGTCCCTGACACGAATCCCGTATCTAAAACCCCGTATAGAATGGCTCCAGCTGAGTTTAATGAGTTAAAAGAGCAGTTACAGGAATTGTTGAATAAGGGGTTCATCTTGAGTTGCACTTGTCGTTTTTGTGAGGAAGAAGGATGGGTCCCTAAGGCTATGTATTGACTATAGGCAGTTGAACTAAGTGACGATGAAGAATAAGTATCCTCTACCTAGAATTGATGACTTCTTTGACCAGCTCCAGGGGGCCTAGGTGTTTAAAAGATCGACCTTCGATCGGGTTATCATCAATTGTGAATTAAGGAGGTATATGTCCCCGAAGACTACTTTTAGAACTCGATACGGCCACTACAAATTCCTTGTAATGCCGTTCAGCTTAACCCATGCCCCTACTGTGTTCATGGATTTGATGAATGGGCCATTCTGACCCTTCCTGGATGATTTTGTAGTGCTCTTTATCAATGATATTTTAGTGTATTCAAAGAATTGGGAACTGCATGAGCAACATTTGAGAACTGTCTTACAAACTTTGAGGTTAGAAAGATTGTATACCAAACTAAGAAAGAGCGAATTTTGGCTCCCTAGTGTGGCCTTCGTTTGTCACGTCATTTATAAGGAGGGATCACGATCGATCCCTCTAAGATTGAGGTAGTGCTTAATTGGGAGAGACCAACAAATGTAACCGAAGTTCGCAGCTTTCTGGGGTTAGCTAGATACTACCGACGCTTTGTAGAGGGATTCTAAAAAATAAAGCTTCCCCTTATGCGATTGACCTAGAAGAATACGAGATTTTTGTGGTCAGATGACTGTGAGAGAAGTTTTAAGGAACTTAAGAAGAGATTAACCACAACCCCAATACTAGCCTTCCCTGAAGGGAGTGAAGACTTTGTGGTTTATACTGATGCATCCCATAAAGGACTCAGGGGTGTACTCATGCAAAGAGGCAAGGTCATTGCTTATGTCTCCAGACAGTTGAAGTCGTATGAACAAAACTATCCAACTCATGACTTGGAGCTTGCAGCTATAGTGTTTGCATTAAAGATTTGGAGGCACTACCTTTATGGGGCCTGATTCAAGGTGTTCACGGATCATAAGAGCCTCAAGTACCTATTTTCCCAAAAGGAATTGAATATGAGGCAAAGAAGATGGATGAACCTATTGAATGATTACGATTGTACAATTGACTACCATCTAGGCAAGATTAACGTAGTAGCCGATGCTCTAAACAGGAAAGCCGTGGTCTCAGTGGCACATCTGATGGTTTAGGAGATGAAGCTATTAGAGGATATGGTGGAGTGGAAACCATCTCGACCCCTTAGTGAGGGGGGAGGAATGCTTTCGTGTCTGAGAATGGAGTCTCAACTATTTCAACGAATTTGAGTGGCTCAAAAGGGAGATCCTCTGCTTGTAAAGATCCTAAAAGAACTGAAGATGAATGGAAAGGAGGATTTCTCTATGAGTGTGATGAATTGTTAAGGTTTAAGGACCAAGCATGTGTTCCTAATGACGAGAGTATAAAAAGGGCTGTTATAGAGGAAACACACCACTTCCATTACATGGTACGCCCTAGGAGTACAAAGATGTACTAGGATCTAAAAAAGACCTTCTGGTGGAACAACATGAAGAGAGATGTGTCTCAGTTTGTGCTTAACGTGTCAACAAGTGAAGGTGGAACATCATAAACCTGTTGGACTGTTACAGCCATTGCCCATACCGGAGTGGAAATGGGAAGCACATCACGATGGATTTTATTTCTGGACTACCAAGATCAAGTGTAGGGCATAATAGTATTTGGGTCGTGGTGGACCGATTAACTAAAGCTGTTCACTTCTTATCGGCTCGCCCGACCTATACCCTAGATAAGCTGACCCAGCTGTATATCAGAGAGATTTTAAGATTACAAGGTGTACCTATTAGCATGGTGTCTGACGGAGACACCAGGTTCACCTCTTGATTTTGAGCAAGACTGTAGTCAGCCTTAGGGACCAGCCTTACCTTTAGCACCGCCTTTCACCCCCAAATAGATGGGAAATCAGAGAGAACCATTCAAACATTGGAAGACATGCTAAGGGAATGTGTCACCGATTTTAAAGGAAGCTGTGAGGACTATTTGCCTCTGATAGAGTTTGCCTACAACAATAGCTTCCAAGCCAGCATCCGGATGGCACCATATGAGGCCCTATATGGGAGGAAGTGTAGATCGCCCATCTGTTGAGATGAGGTGGGCAAGAGGAAATTACTGGGGTCTGAAATAGTCCAAATAACTTTTGAGAAGATTGCCTTAATTAGAGAGTAGCGCAAGACAACCCAAAGTCGACAAAAGAGTTATGTAGATAATCGCAAGAGAAACCTCGAATTTGAAGTAGGTGATCGGGTCTTCCTGAAGGTATCACCGGCCAAGGGTATTACGAGATTTGGAAAAAAGGTAAAGTTGAGCCAACAGTATATTGGGCCTTTCAAAATTCTGGAAAGAGTTGGGAACATGGCATATCAACTTGCCCTGCCACTTGAATTGGCCAATATTCATAATGTCTTTCATGTATCATTGCTAAGGAAATATCAATCTGACCCATCCCATGTTCTGGAATACGAACCAATCCCACTCAGGGAGGACTTGACCTATGTTCAACGGCCAATTGGGATATTAGATCGGAGAATACCGGTGTTACGTAATAAAGAAATTCTCCTGGTCCGAGTGCAATGCAGTATCACTCAAGAGCTGAATCAACATGGGAACAGGGAGGAAGAAGTTCATGAGAAGTACCCCCACCTTTTTGATTAATACGAATATGATTTTGGGGACAAAATCCTTTTAAGGGGGGGATGATGTAAGTACCACAATTTTCTCCCAGTCCAAAGATGCGCACGACGATGAAGGGTGAAATCGAGGCCTAGTGCCATTTAGAGCATTACCGCACGTGTTTATAAGCTTAGCGTCGCCTGTGATGAAGAGGCAGAAGAGAGAGAAAGTAGACACATCACCTCGCATGTAAAAAAGGGAAGCACTGCACGTGCAAGGGGCAGCGCCGTGCATAAATGTAGGCAACGTCGTTTGTGTATTACCGCATGTGCTAGTGGTAGCCGTCTTTGACCCAGCGCCGTTTGTGAATTGAAAAGGAGAGAGAGAACCAATGCCGCGTGTGAAAAGTCAGCTCTGCACGTGAAAAGTCAGCGGGCGTGAAGATGGGAGTGTTCATCACCGTCTGTAGAAGAGGCCTAACGTCAGCTATGAAGAGAGAGACAGAAGTGTAGTGCCTTGAGTAAAAAGGGAAGATGTGACTGTTGCCTGCCGTACCTGTCAGCTACAGTGACCTTCACCTACCTAGTCAGCAATAGTGGATCCCACCTACCATGGCTACTTAATCCCTCTCTTCTCCCCTTGCCAACGTCGTCTCCCACATTAGCTCTCTCTCTCTCTCTCTCTCTCGCTTCCTCTCTAAGAGACTTAGTGGGAGTTGACTGCTGCCTTGAGAAACCTGTGTGTGGAGATTTGAAGGAGGCCACCTAGTGCAGCTTGAGGAGGCCCATGAGTGGAGTTTGGAGACACTGTGAAGGATCTATAAGTGGGTATGGTGCCATGCATGTTTTTGTTTGATAGAGATTAACTTGAGTAAATATGATGGATAAAATAATAGAATGAACATAAATGTAGATGCATTAAAATGAAGTCGAATGAGTGATTGAGTATTATGAATGAAATTGATGAATTTTTGGAGTAATTTCCTTGCAAAATCTCCTTAATATCAAGAAGATTTTGCGTTAAAATTTTCCTTGGCTTATGAAATGGTGGGTCATGTTTGAAAGCATGCTAAAACTTATGATAAGGGGTTTTCCAGCAACTGTAAGGGTACTTGCATCAGACTTTTTGGTCACTAAACAATGCCCGACTGGGCCCAAATCAGTCTTGAATGAAAGATTTGCATGTTTATTTTAAGTTTACCTTTATTCCATGATAAAATTTTGTATGGATCGAAAGATACGCCCCAAAATGTTGGGGCATGTCACTGCCCACAGTCGTGGTAAATCCCAGCAACTGTGACTCTTTTTGTGCCGCACCTTTGGCTTATCAAACGGTGTCAAAACATCTTCAAACTACCACAGTTTGAAATATTAGTGAATAAGCTTAAAGTTTCATGTTTTGATAATTTTGAAATTCCCCGTAAATTGAGAGCGTGGGTACGTCACTACCCTCTATTACAAGAAATTCCCAACAAGTTTCAATTATTTTGAGCCGAGCTTGTTACCTATCAGAAGTTGTTCAAATTCTTTCAAATCACCGCCATTTTAAAGCCCCG